AGGTGCACTATTTTTTATTATTTAAAAAAACATAAACTCCCTTGATTTTTCATAAAACCGAGGTGAAAAAACTACTCAGTACAAGCTCCGGTTCCTAACTGTCGCAGTTTATGATTTTATTTGTTTATAAGTGTGAACAAAATGTTCTAACCCTTTGGTTTTCAATTTAGCTGAGGCATAAGATAATAAGATTTTACTATAAAAGTACTCGTTAAATAGATTTTACTCTAATCTTTACTAATATGAAGTCGTTCAAAACTTGCAAACATCATTCTTTTAGATGGACTGCAAGACAAAAAAATATTTAATTTTCTTCAATCTTGAACAAAATATTTTTCTATCCTTGCTATCCATCCCAAAATAATGGTGTTAATGTTGTCGTTGTTGTATTTTTAGAATAACCCTCAGTTAAAGAAGGGAGTTTAACTTTTGAATAGTACTCAATTGATAGATTGCAAGTACAAAAAAACATTATTGCTTAAACAAAAATTGGAGTTTAACCAACAAAGAAGAGAGCTCAACTTTTGAAGAGTACTTGGTTGATAGATTGCAAATGCAGAAAATTATTCTTGCAAGTTAAACAAAGAATAAAGCTTAACCAACAAAAAAGGGAGCACAACCTTTGAAGAGTACTCAATTGATTGATTGCAAGTGTAGAAAATAATTCTTATTTAAATTTTTTTTAATGGATATGCAATAAAATTTGGATATCAGAGAAGATTTGTTGTAAACAATATCTTTTAATATTACGTGTAAACAATGTATTTTCAACAAAAACAAAAGAATTATTCACCTCAGTTTTATTTAACACCAAGGTGAGAGTTAAAAGGAGAATATATAAACCTCGGTTTTATAGTAAAAATGAGGTGGTTATTAGTCATATTTTACTGTAAAAACACTTGTTAAACGGATTTTACCCTAAGATTAACTTATATGTAGCCACCCCAAAGAAAGAAAATTTTCACCACCGTCCATTTTGATCTCGTAAACAGATCTCTGGGATGGATTGCAAGTGCCGAAAAAAATTCTTATTGAAAAACATATCTTTAGCATCTTGCATAGGACCTAGACATGTAAAATAAAAATTCACCCCGACTTTCTTCTTGGCCGACTGGATAGTTAAGCGTTTTTTTTACTATATTCGTCTGTCATTAGTGATCCGCGTGAAATCTAAGAGACATTCGTTATAAAAACATGTTGAATATTAAAAATTTATAACCTAAATGAAACATGAAGCGCTTAAAACATAAAGACGTTTTAAAATATTCTCTAAAATATATTACAACAGCATAAAATTATTTAGATTTAAGGTTTGTTTTCTTAAGTATTTATTTCCAACCTATAAGACCTTATTTTCAACATAGACTACCAACCATATTATAGTTCTGCCATAAAAATCAATAGATCAAAGTTTTTCAAATAATTTACTTATTCACATCATATTTGAACTTTTCCATCGTTCATAAATACATAAGTCATAACAAATTACTTAGTAGAGAGTTTAAGGAAGAACTAATAGGTATTGTACTTTAAAAAAACAAAAACTGGTGAAATTTATGTCAATGACTATGAGATCTTAAGACCGACATTTAAATATGTGCACAATAGTTATGCTCTTCAAGTTCAAGCAATGAAATCTTATAAAAACTTGTGTTAGGAGTAATTTTCACAAACTTGAGTACTAAGTTAATTTAAATGAAATAAACAATATTTTAATCTTGGACGTCCAAAAATATAAAAAGCCCAATAGATAAAACAAAGTATGAAATCTTCTATATATATATTCCAACTATCTAAACATAATTTTAATTTTATTGAAATTAAAAACATATAAATAGATACCTTATGTCTTATTGCTTACAAACTCAAATATTTTGAAAAGACATCTCTAGTACTATTATTTCCTCATGAGTTTATTGTTTACTTTTATTAACTCCTATTTTTTTATAATAAAATTCAAATAATTTGTAACTTAGTTTTTACTTTACTAACGGCATGTTAATTGAAAAAAATTAAATATGAATTATAAATAGGATAGAATAAACACACAACAGAGACTCTTTATTCTATAATAGATAGGATGATAAGAAATGTGGAGTGGTTTCAAAAATACAATGATGCAAATGATTTTTGCCTCCTAATATTTCTGACCATAATCCCATAAAAGTGAATGTGAACCATCAGTTGACTAAGAGGAGAGTTGTGTTTAAATTATGAGACGACAATAACTCACATTTTCACGCACGTGTTAAAGACAAAAGCAAACAGAAAGGGATATACAATATGGCAACCATGAAGGGTGAATTGCTTAGTAACCATGATGACATTGAAAATGAGATCCTAGAATTTTATACCCAGTTGGCGGGGACCAAGTATATCGAGCTGAAGGGGATAGGTAGACCAACTATAAGAAATGGTAAGGTTTTGTCTTTTGAATCAACCAAACATCTAATCAAACCTATTGAGGAAAAAGAGATATAGGATGCAATGTCTAGTGCAGGGAACTCTAAAGCCCCTAGTTTAGATGGTTCCAACTCTTACTTTTTCAAGTTAACTTGGCAAGTGGTGAAAAAAGATGTTACTGAAGCAGTTTTGGAATTCTTTGACACATGCAAAATGTATTTGGCTTTTAATTGCTCCATTGTCACGTTAATATCGAAATCGTCTAAAGCTACTACTATTAAGGACATGTGTCTTATTTCATGTTGCAACATTGTCTATAAAATAATATCCAAGATTATCACTGCCAGATTAGGGGGGTTATAGGCACTATCATTGACGACAACCAATCACCTTTTATCCACGAAAGAATTATACATGATAATATAATGATGACTTAGGAATTTGTCAGAGGATACGAAAAAAAAACCTCTCCCTGATGTATGGTCCATATAGATATTCATATGATACAGTGGAATGGGTCCCCCTTAAGCACATTATGGATGAGCTGGGATCCCCTTAAAAATCCAGCAATCCAGCAATCGGATTATGGCTTGCGTGACAAATGTCACTTATAGATTCTCCACTAATGGGGTTCCCTCCAACCTACTTAAAGCAAAAAGAGGGTTGGGACAATTAAACCCAATATCACCTATCCTTTTTGTCCTGGTGATAAAGTTATGCAAAATTTAAGCAAGAATCCAAATTTTAATTTTCATCTTAAATATGTGAAAATGAAGATTGTTAATATTTGCTTTGCTGGTGATATTCTAATGTTTCTGCAAGGAGACCTAGAATCTATGAAGTTGATTATAGATAAAATGAAGGATTTTTCGGCTGTTACGTGGCTGAATATGAGTACCCCTAAGAGTAAGATATTCCTTATCGGAGGTAGATGAAGATACTCAAAACCTCATACATTAGAAGATTGATTTTTCTATAAGTACAATGCCCTTCAAATACTTGGGAGTGCCTTTAGCAAGCAAAAAGTTATCGATATCTCAATGTCAATATTTGATAGAAAGGATCTTGTGAGATTGTCCCACTGGAATACAAGGCTTATATCCTATGCTGGCAGATTCCAATTGGTGAAAAGTGTTATTTTTTTTTATAGCAAATTAATGGATGTAGATATTTTCCTTACATAAGAAGGTTATCGCCCACATTAATAGCTCTTGCAAGAATTTCTTGTGGTCTAGTAAGGAAGGTCGTACCAGAAAACCTCTAGTTTCTTGGGATCATATTAATGATCCAACTTATACTGGTGGTTTGAATCTAATTTCCCTTGTGGAGTGGAATAAGGAAACTGTTGATAAACTATTATGGAATGTCTATGCTAAAAAAGACAAGATATGGATTAGGTGGATTCCCATATACTACTTAAAAAATAAGATTTTATTACGTATATTCCTGCAACACACTGCTCTTGAGTGCTTAAAGCTATGTTCAAACATAAGGATATCCTTATCCATACTCCCAAGTGGACATCGTTTAAAGCTACGGGCGAATATGTGACTAATCAGGTGTATCATATGTTAAGAGGTGAAAAACCTAAAATGACATGGAAAAAGTTTTTTATTTATGAAAATCATGTTAGACCTAGAGCGACGTTCATTCTTTGGTTGACTTGTCAGGATAGACTACCCACAAAGGGTAAACTTCACCGTTTTGGAACCATCACTGATGGTAAGTGTGTGTATTGTGATGTAATGGAAACTCGTAATCACCTTTTCTTTGATTGTAACGAAACCAAAGGAATTTTAACACAGACTTTAAATTTAATGGGTATCATTCGGAACCTAAGAGGTTGGGATGCAAAGATGAGTGAAGTGTGCCATATGACTAGGGGCAAGAGATGCACAAGTAGGCTTATGAAAATTGCTCTAGCTGAAATACACACTATTTGGACAACTAGAAATAAGATTATATTTCAAAACAAGACCAAAGACCGGTTGTAAGCTAAAAATATCATTGATATGATCCCCGCGAGAGTAGTCACAAATAAAAATAACTTTATTTATATTGTAAAAGAGCTTGATTTCTATGTTTTTGTTTTCTTGTATCCCTCTCGTTGTTTTGTAGTCAGCTGGGTGTCTGAATCACTTTGATTGACTTTGTACTTCATTTATTTTTTTGGAATATATTTCTTTCTTTTTATAAAAATAAATTATAAATTTTTTATATGATTTTACAAAAATAAATTAGTTACTCCTTCTTTCTAAAATTATAAGTCACTTTACTTTGTCAACAAAATTTGTTCAAAAATTATAAATCATTTTACATTTTCAATGCAATATTAATAACATTTTTCTCAATATATCTTTAAGTATTTATTATTTCAAGTCTTTTAATTTGTGGCATAAAATAATAATTATGTTTCTTCCAAGGATTAAGTTAAGAAGAAGTTAAAACGACACAGGACAAAATTGGTAATATAATTGTTATATTACAAGGATGATGATAAAACAGAGGATCGGAAGTGAAAGTACATTGTTGTCGTGCTCTTCCTTCTCTCCACCTGCTACTGTTACACCAAACTTCAATATCATCATCAATCAATCATGGAACTCAATTTCATTCTCACTATTATCATTCCAATTCTTCTTTCTGCAACCATATCTGCTGAATACGTTCGCCCTTTGCCTCGAAACACCTTGAACATCCCATTCCCATGGGATTCCAAATCCAACCCTTACTCTTACCCTCAACAGGTCAAACCCTCTTTCTCCTGTTCATCAATTGTAACATTATTGTTTGATTTAGATGAAATCAGTAACCCTATTGTTTTATTAATATCTAGATATTTTTATAGGTTTTTTTTATGTATTTGATTATATTAGAAAGACTTTCATTTTTTCCCTTATTATTTTCAGGTACACATTTCTTTGGCAGGAGAGAAGCACGTGAGAATAACATGGATAACTGATGACAAACATTCACCTTCATTTGTAGAATATGGAACATTACCCGGTAGATATGATTCAATATCTGAAGGAGAGTTCACTTCTTATAATTATCTGTTATATAGCTCTGGAAAGATACACCATACTGTTATTGGACCTTTGGAATACGGTACGGTGTATTTCTACCGATGCGGCGGACAAGGTCCTGAGTTCGAACTCAAAACTCCTCCGGCGGTGTTTCCAATTACTTTTGCTGTGGCCGGAGATTTGGGACAAACTGGTTGGACTAAATCAACGTTAGATCATATTGATCGTTGTAAATATGATGTTTACCTTCTTCCGGGTGATCTTTCGTATGCTGATTGTATGCAACATCTTTGGGACTCGTTTGGTAGGCTAGTGGAGCCGCTCGCGAGTGCGAGGCCGTGGATGGTAACGCAGGGAAATCATGAAGAGGAGAATATACTATTGTTAACGGATGAATTTGTATCGTATAATTCGAGATGGAGAATGCCATTTGAGGAAAGTGGATCAGCTTCAAATCTTTATTATTCTTTTGAAGTTGCAGGTGTTCATGTTGTTATGCTTGGGTCTTATGCAGACTATGACGTGTACTCGGAACAATACCAATGGCTAAAGGTTAGTGTTTAGATTCGGCCCGTGTTTGGATAAACAACTTAATTCAGCGCTTATAACATAACTGTATGTAATATATGTTTATGTATAAGCTATTTCTCCAACACAAGATAAAATAAATTCTAACTGTGTTTTTATATAAGCTATAAGTTGTTTTCACAAGTTATCCTTGTGAGCTTATGGAAATAAGCTGAAACAACTTATGGACATTTCTTAAACTCTTTCCATAAACTCTATCAAACAGGCTCATTAGTGTTTAGTGTTTATGTTAGTAGATGAACTCAAACAAGTCATTTCTCGTCAACAGGAAGATCTGTCAAAGGTGGATCGGAAAAGGACACCTTGGCTGCTTGTGTTATTTCATGTGCCGTGGTATAATAGCAACAGGGCTCATCAGGGTGCAGGGGACGATATGATGGCAGCCATGGAGCCATTGCTTTATGCTGCAAGCGTTGATCTAGTTCTCGCTGGTCATGTTCATGCTTACGAACGTTCGGTATGCCTTTTATGGTTTCACCTTTGTTTAAAATTTTAAGCACAATTGAATGGAAACTTGGTCTTAAGTCGTGCTTTGCCTGACTGACAGAAACGCGTGTATAACGGAAGATTGGATCCTTGTGGCGCTGTTCATATAACTATCGGCGATGGTGGAAACAGAGAAGGCTTAGCTCATAGGTAAGTAATATCTGCCAAGCACAGTATAAAAATCTGTTATCTGAATTGTTTGTTATGCGGAAAAAAGTACTAAGTTGTTTATCAATATGCATGCAGATACATAAATCCACAGCCAAAGTGGTCGGAATTCCGCGAAGCGAGTTTTGGTCATGGTGAGCTGAAGATTGTAAACTCAACTCATGCGTTCTGGAGTTGGCATAGGAATGATAATGACGAGTCAGTTAAGGCCGATGATATCTGGATAACCTCTTTGATAAACTCAGGATGTGTTGATCAGAAGAGACACGAGCCCGAGCTCAGGAGTATGCTTGTAACACCCTAACTGTTTCATTTCTGTTATAGCTGCTGGTTTTGCTGTATATATTAATATACTCTTAAGGACATGGAGTTATCAGTACATGGTGTGGAAAGGCAGTGTATTGTCTGAATTTGTAAGATTGGTTAGTGACATTTATACTTTTTATGCTTAAGCTAATGAAAGAAAACAAATTTGAGTATGACACACAATTGTAATTTGTAACCATAACAAATGTTTGTGTGAAACTCTTACCTACTAAAATTGTCTTATGTTTTTCGTTGGAGTCATCGTCTCAATTTTATTGGATACACTCACATACATCTAATTAGTTTCTTCCTTATTGGTTAAGTCACCAACTCCCACATGTCATTCTTGTCTAAAGCTCTCATCTCTAAATTCATGTCCTACAACTATTTTGTATCAGATAAGGCCTCATATAGGGTAGTAGGTGTAGTGATATTATTTAGGTTAGTAAAGAACATTGCGTGGCAAATCTTGTCCAAGTTTTTGTATAGAAACTAGGTGTGACATGAAGAACATTTTTTAGGGTTATCGAATGGTTAATTGGGACATCTCATTGAACAACAATGATTATAAGAGTTCCATATAAAATTATAATTTTCTTGTGACATGGAGAATATACTGAAAAATGGTTAGGTAAATGTGTCATGTGGTTAGTGGCCCTAGATTCTAGTGTCCAAGAAGTTTTAGAGGGTATTGATAAAAGTCTCACATTGAACAATGTATGACCTGAACATGTATTTATAAGTGGAGACAATCCTCACTCTACTAACCAGTTTTATAGGGTCGAGTTAAGCCAACCACATTTCTTAACATTTTGTAGGGTTGAGTTAGACCCAACCACATTTCTTAACAGGTATAAGGTAAAAGATGGTGACAAGTTCATCAAGACACGACAACGAATAAGGATAGTCCTCAGAAATGATGATGATTGAAAATCTTAATTTTTTAATTGTTTCGACAAGAGATTGTGAATTTGGCGCCTCTTCCTCACATCCTTTATCTTTCATGAATGTTTTAAATCTTGCTCGATTGAAAGCATCATAGATGTAACCTGGAAAAGAGTAACGAGTATCTTCACTAACACTGAGAAAAAAATCATATCGATGTAAGGTGTTACAAACCCAATCGACAATCTTTTGAATGAATTCATATTTATATTCATCCCTGCAAAATATACAAACACTTTTAGTTTTTTTAAAACAAATTAAATGAAAATGAGACACTAACCCCAGATATAAATACAAGAAATTAGGATGCAACACAAGGAGTACAAGAAATTAGGATGCAACACAAGGAGTATCGAAACACATAACAATACAAGAGAATAGGATCAAAGCAACACCCAAACCAAAACAACAACAAAGAAAACAACAAAAACCCAAACAAGAGATGGAGACCGAAGAGAGGTAAATATCAGGAGCACCAAAAGGGATCACTAGCTAAATCTTTCTAACCAAAGAGTTGCAAAGACAACATCAAACTCCACAGAGCAACAATAACACTCCAAATGGAGGTCAGAGACACTAAAATTGCTATTGAATCAGATGACATATAGAGCTCTCGAGTCAGGTTGAAAAAATACAAGAGTTTCCTACAAACCCACCAATATACCATTTTCAAATAAAGAAAAACTCATTTCTTCCACGTCCTTCGTTGTGATCAACTTATCTGAGAACATTATATCATTTATAGATTTTTAAATCGATCAAATCACAGCAATGCCAAATAATCAATCCCTTAAACCTAGACGAATCACCACTGTAAAATAACATCTGAAAAAAATGTCAAAGAATCCTTGAGGATGGACTACAAACCTATCTAACCATCTGAAAATCCCATACTACACAGAAATCAATACGTAACAATTAATAAACAAATGCGATGATGACTTTATAAATCTCGAGCAGAAAGGACACAGAACACCCTCTGAACCAATATCAATCTCCCTGTTAAGTAAAATATCTCTATACAAACACTTTTAGTTGATTCCTTTTACCAACGAAGTTTTAATTGTAATCAAAATCATTAATACAAAATTAACAAATATTTTTATTTTTGAACATGTGTTCTCAAAATATAAGTTAACATTGTAAATTATTTTTCTTCTAAGAAGAGAGACACATACCCCAACTTGAAGTGCCATCACTTCAAACAAAGCTACCTTCCAATTTTCTAGCTTTTCAGAGTCTTTTCCAAAACTAAGTTCATGAGCAGACATTGCTTCACCAAACTCACCTTCTATAAACTTTACCTTAGAAGGATCAACATCATAGAAGATTGACAAAATCGGTTGGTTTTTCGACTTTTTGCACTCAAGACAATAAGTGAAAAACATATAGTTTTCGGAGAATACAACAATTACAATGCTAGACCTTTCTAATGCTTTGAGAAGAGAATGGAAAATTTGATCCCCACTCTTGAATCCATTCCCATCCATGTAGATCTTAAATCTCTTTCAGCGCAAAGCATTATAGAGATAACCATAAAGTATAGTCAAGACTCAAGAACCATGTGATGCAATTTAAGAATTTTATGAATTCACAACTTGCAAATTTTTAATGCTATTTGTGCAAAGTAAACTCCATTAAGTTTTCAATTGTTCTCAAGGCAATTCAAGAATCAAGGATTTCAATTGTTGTTCTCTCCAAAAACTATCGCTACCATGTCTTTCTAAGTTTTTGTGGAGAAGACACATTGGGCATTACATGTTTCTTGAAAATTTTCAGCAGCATTCATAAGATAGGTTCAACCTTGTTGGAACATCAAGATTTTACAATTAATTCTAACAAATCCAATACACAATTTTAATTTTGCAGATCTTTATGGTGGGGACCTCACAAACTTAGCAACATTTCTAATGGCAAAATAAATCATTTTGTTTTCAACAAGATTTAAAATGTGAGAACAACATCATAGATTAAATAAGGACCCATTGATATTGTCAACCTTCTTTTTTAAATAAGCAATAAAGACCTAACATTGATATGTACTAATTCACATATTTATTGAGATTATCATGATTAGTTACTTAGGTTTCACCAATATGACATTATATTATTTTAAAATATATTCAAATATCCTTTTACCCTTTAATCTCCATTAGTTCATCAACTTCAATTGTTAAGGATAAGGTTACTTATGTAGAGCTTAAACAATTTAGCCTTTCAGTATTATTCAAGAGTCATTGTCTGTTGGCGTGGGAGAATTCCTAACTTATACTTGTCATGGGAGGAACTCCTACCTAAGTCATGTTGTCTTGTACAAATAATGTTTTATAATTCATCATCTATTGAATTGTGAGACTCAAAGAATTACATAAAAAATTCAAATAACCCAAGAAAATATTGAGGTTTGCACCATCACTGAATTCTCTAAAGTGTGTTTTCTCCATATTTTCTCAAGATTAAATCTCAACCCATCAAATTCAATATGCACCATCTTTTTATATTTCTAATACACGGTTCCACAAAATTATAATATTACCGGAGATGATTCAAATCAAATTAGTTTTTAAATTAAAAGTTAAATATGTTTTTAATCTTTTTAAATATTTTAAAATATTTTTTTTAAAAGAATGATTCTCTTAAAAATTTTCATCTATATTTTTTATCCTTGATATTTGAATCATTGCTAAAATTGTCACTAATGCAGTTACTAAGTAATAATTTGTCGTTAAGAAAGAGTAGTAGGAAAAATGGGAAGGGGTATTTACAATTTTATATTTCCTCTTATCTATTAATTAGAGTCTCTTTTAGTGTCACGATTTTTTTTTTACTTCATTTGAAAAAAAAAAGAAACTTTGGGATTACTGAATCAAAAACTACACGAAATTAAGAGAGCAATGAAATCATCATAGTCTTTAAATTTTTAAGCTGCAGAAGAGATCAAAAGTGTAAATGAAAAATTTTAGAATAACTATTTTTAAAAAAAAATATTTTGAAGGACTAAAAATAAAAATTGAGATATTGAAGAGTATCAAAAACATTTTAATCTATGAATCAATATAAATTATATAATTGATATGAATGATAGTGTATAAGATATCATGTAATTACAAACTTAAATACATGTTATTTTCATCAACTATTTTTCAACAACAACAACGAAAAAAAAAGTTACAATATAATCTACTTGTATAGAAATACATTCACATTCTATATATGCATTATTCAAACAAATAATTTTATTATCGTCCCAAAAAAAATTATAATTTACTATCATGAAATGTTTTAAAAAAAATAATAAAAAGTTATGAGTAATGAAAGGTTAAAAAAAATTCTCTTTAACATCATGAAAGGTCAAAAAATTTCTCTTTAATATTATGATTATGTAACCTCATTACTAGGTGTTCTAAAAGACAAACGTAACACACTAATTATACAATAAATATAATAAATAATGAACTTTATACATTATAAAGAGACTAAATCACATTCTAGTGTTAACTTACAAAGAGGAAATAATATGGCTGAAATTCATGTTCTAATTATATTTCTTTTCTTATTTTTCGTTGGAATAGGAGTTGGTGGTAAGTAATTTTATAACGTTCTTAAATTTCTTTCTTTTCTTTATAGTTTTATGAACAATTTTTTTATCATGTTTCAGTAACTTTATTTTATTACCTTTTGTATTACAGAGGAGTTTGAATGTTTTATTGATGACGATTGTCCACCAAGGTGGAATGAGTATTATGTTAGTAAGTGTGTTGGTCATAAATGTGATTGGGTCTGGAAGTGGGCTTAAGATTATTTAGTTATTATACTGGAAATGAATAAATTTTTCCTTTCAATTTCATGAACCTTACAATTATAATATGATGGTAAAGTTATAAAGAGTAGTGTTTAGATTATATTTTTTTCTCCTAATTTTGGAGGTATCACCATCACATCCATTTGAGAGATGTTAGAACTTATTTACAGTCTCGTTGCCTATAAGAACACATTTAATAGATAAGTTGGAAAATATCTTTTTTATCCTACTTCAAATACTGAGGACTCATTTGGTATGTTAATAAGTTGAATAAAAATATTTTTTTAAAAGATTAAACTATATTATAAAGAAAAAATACAATTTTGGGGGCTAGACCTAGCCAAAAATTTTTTTTTAGAGAAAAGAGAAAAGGTAAATCATAAAAGTAAATAAAATAAAGGTACTATTTTGGACTCACTTTTTTGAAGTAATTAAGGTACTTATTATTACTTGTCTAGTTTATAATAGTCATTTTTCTCAACATCTTAACATAGATTTAATAAGGAATTTATATATGTTCAAACAGTCCTTTAATATTGCATAATTTTTTTTGTATAGGCTCATCTACAAACGGAGAATTTTTTTTTAAAGTAGCAATGTATTAATTTTTATTTACCAAACAAATTAACATTTCAAAAAAAATACCAAAATGGCAATGTTTGGAATTAGGCTAACAGCGAAAGGGGGTATTTTGTGGGATTTCGCCAATTGAATTGGCGAATGAGAGTTATTTTAGGGTTTGTTGCATTTTCAATTTTCTTTTAATTATTATATAACATATTTTCGTTTTCATATTTTAAAATTTAATTGTTTTTTAATTTTAATAGATGAAAATGAAAAAATATATTAAAAAAACCCTTACTAATAGGTGTAAGAGACCATTTATCCAAAATATTCCAAAGATCAATTAACTTTCCATGCAATGCATTAATTGTTGGAGAAGATTCTCCTTTCATGAATGATATGTTTTTAAAATATGTATATAAAACTATGTGATTTGATGCACGTGAACAATACTTATAAAAAATCCAGAAGGAAATTATGCAAAACCGTGTAGGCCCCAGGCCAGGCCAGGCAGAGTTGGATGGATAAATGATAGATAGGAATGAATCTAGGATAATAATATCATATGGCATATGATGGTGAATGAAGAATCTGAAGATGAACAACTTTACGATGTTTTCCTCAATTTTAAAGAATCTGATACCCGACGGGGCTTCACGGGTAATCTGTTTAACGCTTTGCGCAACAAGAGATTCAAAATCTTCATGGATAACGACAGCCTCAAGAGTGGTAACCAAATTCCAACCTCTATTATCAAAGTATTGGAAAGGTCAAGGATTGTAATTGTTGTTTTGTCAGAAAATTATCCATCTTCCACATTTTGTCTTGATGAACTTGTCAAGATACTCGAGTGCAGACAAAGGATAAACCTGCTGGTTTTACCAATCTTTTATGATGTTGATCCTTCCGAGGTGAAGCACCAGAAAGGTATTTACGGCAAAAGCATTGCTCTTCATGAAAATAGGCATGGAAAGGAGAAGTTGGAAACATGGAGGTCGGCTTTGTATGAAGTCTCCTGCATACGCGGATTGCATTTCAAAGACGGGTAACTATTTATCTAGTTCAATTTTGCACCTCCATTTCCTATTAGGGTTTAGAGTGTGTATCACAATTATAACTTTTAGGGTTTAGAGTGTATATCACAATTATAACTTGAGTCAGAATTTACAGGACAGACTCTAGAGTTTTTCAAGTGGAGTTCCTGTGTCCGGTGTGCTGTCTGGGCACGCAAATAAATCCGTCTGGTTCGCCTCCGCCCCAAAATTATTGAGAAAATCAGATTTAATTGGGGGTGGGAGGTAAATCTGATTTTTATTTAGGGGGCGGGGACGGTAAACTCGGTTTTGATATTTTGGGACGGAGGCGGGGGCGGAATACCTATTAAATTTAATTATTTATTTTATTTTTAATAATTATATTACTCATTTACACTTTTTAATCTTACACTATCATGTTTATTAGAATTACTATTAATTTTGTTATTTTAAAAATATACATTAAAAAAAATATATATAAATTTATGCTGGTGGGGATGGGGCGGGCACGGAGAAATCCGTTCCTTGATGGGGCAGGGGCGGGTGACCAATTATTAGTCCCGATCAGATTTAGGGGCGGGGCGGATTTGGATCGGGAAGGCAGGAGTAGGCCTGAGTCTGCTTAAACCCACCCAGTCCCGCGCCGTTGCTATGCCTATGCCCATGCCCAGGGCGTATCAGACCATACTCCGGTGGAGTATGGATTTGTTTGCAGCAAAGCTGGCGGTACTCCTGCGTGTTTTTGAGTAGAATCATTGCATTTTAGTAGTTGTTTTCAATTGTATTTAATTTAAACAGGACCGTGGTTCTTTACTGTTATTAGTGTTAAGGAGCTCTCTTTATATTTTGGTTTTGATTTATCTCTTAAGTATCAGATAATGGTAGGGTCTGTAAGTTGAGATTTTTTTACAATTTGGTGTTTTGAAGTATGTTAGTGAATGTGGTAAGGGATTCTCCTAGAGGTACTTAGACCAGATGTTTTTGACGGAGTTGTCAGTGTTGGTTTCAATCGACCAAATGTTCAAGACGAGTTGTGAGCGTTGGTTTCAAGCGGCCAAATGTTTTTGAGAGTTGGTTCTATTTTGTTTCCGATCTGATCCTAGCTGGTCTTGATGCAGCTGAGAGTGTTCATTGGAGTTTCATCTCTTATCTTGTATAGTTGTGCCATTTTGGTATTAGCTGGTAAGGCATTGATTTCATATCTTGCTGTCAAGCTAAGTTGGGAGTCTTGTAGATGTGCTAGCAGGTGTTTGTGTTTTGAGTGGTCAAATGATTTTTAGATTATAAGATGGGTCTGATGCAAGTTTGCATTTTTGCCAAAGATGTCATAGAAATAAAATAGGTTCATGGATTGGATTCATTGGTGTGGAGTTGATATCTTGTTCTGGTGTATTTTTATTGTGTTGGTCTTATATCATTCTCATTTGTTGGACTATCTTGTATATGTTTTTATCTTGCATTCCTTGTACTAGGTGTGATTGCTAATAGAAAGTTTATCTGTCTTAAAAAACACCGCATGGACTATTTTTTTCAGGTTTCTAGAAAAGTGCGAATATGAAATAGTTCAAGAGGTTGTGGAATGGGTTTCCAACAACACGACCCACTACGATGTTTTTCTCAGTTCTAAGGAAGAAGATACCCGCTACTCTTTCTGTGGTTATCTCTACAATGCTTTGAATCAGGAAGGATTCAAAATCTTCATGAACGATAATGGATGTAAGGAGGAGGGGGCCCAAAGTTCACATTCTCTTGTTACAACACTTGAAAAATCAAGGCTTTCAATCATCATTCTCTCGAAAAACTTTGCATATTCTTCCTCGTGTCTTGATGAACTTGTCACCATCCTTGCCTTCATGAAGAACAACCAACTACTTGTTTGGCCTATTTTTTACAAAGTTGAACCAACGGACATTAGACATCAGAAAAACAGTTATGAAAAAGCTATGAGTGAACATGAAGATAAATATGGAAAGGACTCAGAGAAGGTGAAAATGTGGAGATCAGCTTTATTTGAAGTTGCAAACTTAAAAGGCTGGCACCTCAAATACGGGTACATAATAAACTTTTTACTATTTTTTTGACTAAGCTAGCACTTAGTAGTTAACAATATCCTAATATGAGCTTTTGCAGATACGAATATGAGCTTATCGAAAAAATTGTGGAAACGGCCATTAAAATTTGACTTGCTTGTAGTAACCATTGCCAAGTCTTTGCTCGGGTATGTAGTTTCACTAATCAATTCAACAAGTGTTCTGTTTTATAAGCAAAACACTGTCTGAGAAATTGATACTAGTATTAGTTTTTGTAATAATAATAATAATTAAAAACTGCGTATCTTTTAATGTTTTATATTTTCAGCCTGACATACTTTGATGCCTAATGCATAACTGTAACTTTCGATTTTTGAATTATCTATTTTACAAACATGTATATAGGACTAGTACTGTCTTTTGGGAAAATGAAGGTTCAGAGCGCTAATGTGAAAGCCGACAGTTTGGTGTCAGGTCTATTATTATGTGTAACATGCAACTCGCGACCTCTCCCTCATGTGACCGACTTTTGAATTCTCGACATTCATCTGTCAGGTTGCAGGATACCTCTGTCGGAACACCTTCCTGAGTCAAAGGTTAATTGATTCTCAGATTGTTAGTTAAGGAACTTGGGAATGGGTAGTTGACATCCTTCTAGAATGATGAGTGGATTGAGGATCAATTTTCCAAGTTTTATTTGATAACAGAGAATCAAAATTTGATGGTAGACAATGCAGAACTTGGCTAAACTCTGTCTTGACTCTTGAACAACATTCTTATTTTCATCCTATCATTCTTTAGAATGAATGACAATATAAAAAAATACAAGATGATTTTTTATATCTTTAATATTAATTTTATGTCTCTGATTTTTTATATAAATAAACTTTAAATATATTAAAGTAAAAGAAATAATAAAAAACAAAAATAAAAAATATTTACAAGAATCAAAATAAAATTAAAAAAAAATCTAATTAAAAAAATAATAAGGTCCAGTTATATGTTTAAATTCACCTTTTCATTATTTATTTTTGTTTGTTAATTTTTAAATGTCAACAACTAGTGTATATTAATATATACAATAAATGTTAACTATAGTAATTGAACTATATATCATCCATTTACATTCATTTATCTAAAGTATCATCTAAACTATCAAATACCACTTTAGCTATACCATTGAATGTGAGAACACGTTACACTAATTAACAAGAGCCTACGATGTAACATACATATGTATAGGTCAGATCAGATCAGTTTTTTTTTTTTCAAATAGAAAAAATTTAATTTTTTTTATAAACTTATTTAATTAAAAATACTAGGATTGAGGCCATAAAAAAAGTCTTTTAAATCTATTAGGCCAAACTATTTAACTGAATATGAATAATTTTATTAATATTATTATATTATAATTTGAATTAAAATACAAAATAAATCTTAATTATTTTGAATAACTTATGAAAATTTGATGAAAACACCTTATGAACACTGTCATAAGTTGTTTTCATAAGTTTTCTTAAATAAACAATCTCACAAAACTTATGCTATTAGGTAAATTTAAATAAGTCAACGCAAATAAATTTTTAGTATAATTGATCTTTTAGATTTTAGTTTATATAAATATTAATTGAATTATTTATTTACATATGTTCAAATAAAATAGGTTTTTAAGTAAACTAGTAGACCAATCAGACTTAAACCTAAAAATAAAACATTACTTTTTCCACCTTTAATGGTGCTCTTGCACCGTGAAATACCCAAAATGTCCCTCAAATATGAAATACATTTTCAGACGCACCAAAACCTCAGAAAAAATCTAAAACTCTATTATCGGAAACTGTTGTATTTGCCAAACTAGAAACAAATGCAGAAAACTACATAAATCAACACCAATCATTGTTATGACATGCATAAAAAATGTAACAATACATAAATAATTGTAAATGTAAATATAACAACACATTTCATCATCAAGTGATGGTTGAGGATGTTTCAACATTTTTAAAATATCTCCAGTCGATCTCGCAATCTTCACATCCACATCGATTGGACCTTTTATTTCTTAATGGTGAATGTCCTCCACATAATAGTTAAATCTTTATCTGTCTTTAGCTCAAACTTGTTGAAATATATCTTCTCTTCGTTGTCAATCGATGGTGAATGATAATAGAACTTCACAACTCTTCAATTATCTGAGTACAAAACAACAAGCCTACCTGTTGATTCCTAAAGACGCCCTTTCATGAGGAGGAAGCAGTTGTTGAGGCCCCATTAGTGTTACACTTGACCTAAGAATGGATAAGGGTCCTATGACCTACTTGATCATGGCAATATTAGGTGGATGTATAGAAACATTAAATTTCTTCAAGATGCAAAAATCTCTTATAAAGGGAGAAAACAAACTTAATTTCGTTACCTAACATGAAAACTTGAGAAGATATGCTTGCAACTATGGAATTAAAAATAGGACACCTATTATTTAAGATAAAATTATTTCTAGCATGCCATATAGAAGAGATAATATAAGATATTTCTGAAGTGATCGTGACTTTGAGGATTTCAAGTTTTGTCACAGATTTTCCGTAGATCTTCCACATCTTGACAATGCAAAGTCAGGTTGAGAATGGAATCCAACCAACACCAAAGCTTCGCAAAAAAACCTGTATTGAAAGAATAAATTCAAAGTGGACTCTTCACATGAGAATTAGCGTGAGAAAACTGATGGGAGATAGAAACCTTTAAGTCTAAAGTTGTCATTAGTATGAACTTTGTTGTATAATACTCTCCAAGCTAGAAAGGATTTTGAGGGAGGTATGTCCCTGCACCAAATAAACCTAGCCCAAGTGACTTTAGGAAGATGGATCCTCTTGAAATTATAAGCTTTCCCTAAAGTTAAGTTCCCATCAAGGGCCAATTTCTAAACAAGCTTGTCTTCTTTGCAATCCATAGGTAATCTAACTTGCATCACAAGATTTCTCAAACCAGGAAAACGACTATCAAAAGAGGCAAGAAAACTCTAGCTATTATTATATAATGTAGTTGCTGGCTGTTGAAGGAATGTCAGCGACCTCATCAACCTAAGGTTGAAGGTCTGAATAAAATTGGTGTCACACCAGTCATCCAACCAAAACTACATGTTTTTGTCGTTGCGTATAAGCCAACCATAGTGGTCAATGATCACATTGAATTCCTACTTAGTGCCACTCTGTATGGATAATAAACATGGTATATGATGGTTTTCTTACCATTCAACACCTTGTTCCTTAAAATCTTGGCCCAAGAATCTTCTTAACAAACTAGTTTCTAACAAAGCAATAAATTATAAGCTTCATTCAATATGATAAATAACCTAATGCCCAAGCCACCCTCCATATAAGGACAACATACCTTCTTCCTAGCAACTGTGACTAGCTTCCTTTTGGACGTGTCTCCACTCTAAATAAGGTTTTTATCATGAAATTTCAATGAAACCAAGTGAAAAGGGCCACAAAATACAGTTGATTATATACACAATTTGACCCTTATCACTGAACAAGTTGTAAGTCATGTGCCTGACCAAGCTACAAGTCATGAGACTCTTGCAAGTCATGTCCCAGAACCTGATCCACCTACATCTCATGTATCTGAAACGACTACTTAAGCATCTGTTAAGCATAATATTCACTTGAAAGGTATTCTTAGATAGACCGTGAAACATTGGCATCATTGCTGAATGAAGAAGAATTTGGAGATAATGTGACACTAGATATTCAACCACTTGGTATTGACTCAAGTCCAGCCAAACAACCTACTCCTGCCAAGCCAACATTAAGCGGTATTAGAACTTTTATTGGTGTAATACCCAAAATATGTAATTATACTAATTCTTCAACTAAACAAACTTAGTCTCCAGCGAAACCAAATCCTGCTAAGCCAAGTAACACTGATCCTATAAATCCTTCTATGGTCATTACTACTTAGTTTTGTTCATGTGTCAATGATGCTAAAAATGTGATATCATTATATGTTCAAAACATGTCATCAAAGAGGAAAGAGGTCAATTAAGTTCCAGATGTAAAAAGAAAGAGTGATAGACTTATGACATTGAAGACAAGGAACTTTGTGTGACATGGAAAGAATTATGATGGTCCACTTGTGATTCTTGAAGAAGCAAAAGAACCAAGACCGCCAATTGGTTTCACTACTAAGAGAATGAAGAGTTGAAAGGAAATTCAAAAAGGTTTTACTCAATGATGCATAAGAAATTGAAGATATGTAGTCTATATACTTTGCCATTTTGTGTACTTTAACATTATGTATCATTGGTATGTACTTTGACATTATGTATCAGGGATGTGTACGTCGGTATTATGTATTAATGGTGTGTACTTTGAATTATGTTATTTTCTTTCATAGGTTGTACCTATTTTGGTACTATGATATATCTATGAAATTAAGCCAACAATATTGTCGAAGTTTGATCAATATATCTGTTTTGAAATTTTCTATCATGTGTTTCTATGTGCAAATTTTTATTGGGTTCCTAAAATGAGCATAACTGTTATTATACACCAATGTCTTAGTACACATAGAAACACCATAATTTGTGCAAAGTTACACCAATTCACAATTTCATAGTATGTTTCTAATTAAATTGTTAAGGCAACATTGGACCAACATTTCACCTAATCACAACAAACACTAAGCCAACACTTAACCGTGAACATTAAGTCAACATTTCTAATTAACAGGTTTTTTAATGATCAATGCAAACATCAAGCCAATATTTAACTGTCACTCTGCAAAAAATTTGTGCCAACCTTAATTGAATTTCATTACCAAAATTTGTCAATACATAGAAAGTACACATTGAATAATACACAAATATTGAACACACCCGTCCCCGCACTCGCACCCACCTCCATGTAACACACCTGTCCCCGCCTCCAAACACCCCGAAAAAAAATATATTTTTTTTAATTGCAATAAAAAATAATAATTTAATTAAAAAATTGATTATTTTAATAAATTAATTAATTATTTAATTAAAATTTTAATTAGTAAATACATATTAATTTGATTAATTTAATTATTTTAATTACAATAAAAGTATTAATAATTTAATTAAAAATATAATTAAAAAATAAATATTAAAATAAGTAAAATAAGAGAATTAAACTAAAATACATTATTCGGGACAGGTCGGGACGGGTCTTAGTGTTTCCCCGCATCCGCACCTGTAGTTAAAAATCAAATTTCTCTCACATCCGCACCCAATTAAATCGGGTTTCCCCTGTTAATTTCGGGGTGGGTCCGGATTTTTTTTCCATCCCTAAACACAATCCTTCAACATTTACATTTGAATAGAAAATACAAATTAAACATAAAAGAGATTACAAAAAGTAAATTTTTTTATTTTTCCAAAACATTTCTCTGATTTCAATTTGTTTTTCAAACTCTTGTTGTTCTTCTTATACAACTCCTTCAAATAACCCATAACTTCATTCATGTTGCTTCTATATTCGTTTTCAGATTTTGCTACCATATCTTCATCTCTCTAAAATGGACATCTTCAAAAAAACAGCTTATCTTTATTGGGTCATTTTTTACACCGATACAATCTCATTCACCCTTGGCAACCACAAATGTTCACCACTATTTTTTACAGATGAGAATGACGTGGATGGTACATTGTTTGAGTTTCTAACATTGTTTCAGTGAGAGAAAAATGTTGAAAACTTGTATTTTTGTAGACCATTAAAAAATAATAATAATCATTATATCCACGGAACAATTTCAATTATTGACAAAAATAATTCACCAATACTGCCACGTCTGGTTGTATTACTGAAATCTAAGGTTGGGAAAGCTGGAGAAAAGGGCAGATTTCAACCTAGCTCGTGACTGGTTGGGTTGATAAAGGTTTTCTGGAGTAATTTCAAGACTAGAGAGAAGCCATAATCTTATCCTTTTATGATGGCCACGCTTATCAAAGACGCAGGTGCAAGTAATAAGTACGATGTTTTTCTAAGTTTTAGTGGGCATGACACTTACACCTTCACAAGTAATCTCTATTATGCTCTGCGCAGCAAGAGAATCAAAACCTTCTTCTTCCCAAAGGAAATTCAAAATCATGATGACCAAGACCAACTTCAGCTTTCACCTTATGTTTCCAAGACAATTCAAGAATCGAAGATTTCATTTGTTGTTCTCTCCCTAAACTATGCATCCTCCACCCGTTGTCTCGATGAACTTGTGAAGATCCTTGAGTGTACAGATCCTCAATTTGTTAGGCCAATCTATTATAATGTAAAGGTTTCGCATGTAACGCATCAGATGGGGCCGATTAGGGAAGCCTTTTTGATGTTAGAAAAAAATTACCCTGACAGGATACAACAATGGAGAAGAGCTTTGCGTGGTATCACTTACGTTTGTGGATGGCATTTCGGAAATGATCAGTATGTACTATACTTGTTGGTATATTTATATGCTCAAATCCAATAATAGATTTTGTGAATTAAAATGATTTTTGCATTCATAGGTTTGATTATGAACTCATCCAAAAGATTGTTGACCTAACGGTGCGATATATGCCCCGTTACGATGTTTTTCTAAGTTTTTGTGGCGAAGATACTCGTTACTCTTTCACAGGATTTCTCTATCAAGCTTTGCGTCGCGAGGGATTCAAGATCTTCATGGATGACGAGGGATTGGAGGGTGGAAACCAAATTTCACAAACTCTTTTGAAAGCAATTGAGAAGTCAAGGCTTTCGATTGTTGTTTTGTCTGAAAACTATGGATATTCGACATGGTGTCTCGATGAACTTGTCAAGATTATGGAGTGCAAGAAGGCCAAAAGCCAACTAGTTTGGCCAATATTTTATAAAACAGAACAATCTGATGTAAGCAATCAAACAAAAAGTTATGGGGAAGCTATGAGAGCACATGAAGATAAATTTGGAAAGGATTCTGAGAATGTCCAAAAATGGAGATCAGCTTTATCGGAAGTTGCCTTATTGAAAGGAGACCATATCAAAGAAAATGAGTACGTATTGTGTCAATTTTCTTATCATAGAATTGTGTCTTGTTAAAGTGCTGTGTTTAGTTTTAGTGCAGTTTTGTTGAAGATTAATACTTTCTCTGTTTTAAAATTAATGTCGTTTAAGGTTTTTGCACACAGATTAAGAAATGCAATAATATTGTCACAAAATATTGTATTTTTATTAAATTAGTCTTATTATTCTGTTGGAAATAGTGTATATAATAATAATTAAATGACACAATTGTAAAAATAACAATTATTACTATATTGAAAAGTAAAAATGATAGTCATTTTGAAAGAAATTTTTTCCTCTAAAACGACAGTCATTTTAAAACAGAGGGAATAATATATGAAATAAATTTTGATTAATAGAATGAAGTAAAAGGTGCTGTGCTTTTGTAGGTACGAATATGAATTCATAAAGAAGATAGTGGAAAGAGCCGTTGAAGCTGAAAATCATATGTGATAGCAATTAGCCCTTGCACAAATAACAACTAAAGGAAGATTTGATGAGTTTCTGTGTAACTTGTGTGGAAGAAATAAGTCACTATTATAGATTGAATATGGTAACTTAATTTGTATGATGACATAATGCTATCAATTGATAATGTCTCTTTTATATGATTGTGTTTTTCTCTTAGCCATGTTTGATGAAACTAGTACTTGATAGTTGGCTCATTCTAAAGATAAAAAGCGACAGAAAAAAACCTCAGATATATGTTTGTACATGTACAAATTCATAGCAGGGTAAACTGATGCAGAATTCCTTAAAGAAGACATCAATCTAGTAGTTAAGTTCTTACCTCTGAAGCATGGGGATTTTTACGCAGGGTTAACGAGTGTTGTCTATAGAATTGTAGTTTGACGAGAAGCATATCACCACTTTGAATTCCAACAAGTTACGTTTCCGGTCTGCGAATTATTTCATAAAGCCTTGAGCCTTGAAGAAATAAGAGCTTAATTGCTGCAGTAAGATATCACTCTCGGCCAGTAGGTCTTGCATAAAAGGAAGATCCTTGGTATTTGGTTCATAGGTAATGAGGGCGGGTGGATCATGGCCGTACACAGCCTTAAATTAGTCATACTAATACTACTCTGGGAGGCAGTATTGTACTGGTATTTGACAAGCTCTAAAGCACCTCAAATATAGTTCCAAGCATTTGTTGAAAGCCTCCGAATGTTCGTGAATTTGAGGATGATAAAATTAGAGGATGAATTTAGCTGCCTTACATAGGCTGACTTCTTTTGCATTGACGGGTTGAGCTTTTGGAAAAATAAACAATGGGGTGCTTAGAGTGACCGAGTATGCCTCCAACCGTGATCCACAGGAATCTGTCTCTAAGATGAATTATTGAAAAAAATCCCGTAGAGCTAAAATTATAGCATGTGTAATGGCCATTTTCAAGTTATTGAAAGCTTCGGTAGCCTCAACATTCCAAACAAAAGCATCTTAAAGAAGTTAAAAAGTATCGATTTAAAACTTAATAACTTTGGATTTAGAGAATGAGCTAGGCAATGGAGAGGTGTGCTACTCTTAGTCCAATGGTCAATTAATATAGGATGGACTACATGATGAAAATTTGATATTTCAACATTTGATATTCCTTCATGTTTATATATGACCTTCTTGACATCTTTAATTATTAAATCCCACATTTTATAAACTAGATGAAGACATGAAACTCCTATGAAGACATGAAGCTTCTGTCTCAGATCTTCTAAGAACATCATAAATAGAATTAGTGAAAGAAAGTATATAATCAACCTTTTTCCACCAATTATCATCCAACAAGGTATTCTTCTATTTTAATGAGGCTGAATTTCCTTCTATTGGACTCCATGTGTTGTGCATAGATTAAATCTTGCTTTAAAGGATACCTTGTTGGATAATAATTGGTAGAAAAGGTTGATTATATAGTTTCTTTCATTAATCCTATTTATGATCTTCTTAGAAGAACCGACATAGAAACTTCATGTCTTCGTCTAGTTTATAAAATGTGCGATTCTATGATTGAAGATGCTAGGATGGGCATATATAAATTGTGCTCCTAAATTGCTAATTTTATTAATATATAAAATATATATAGCCGTGTTCATTTCCTATGTTTTTTACATTAGCGATGTCCGCGTCCGAAGCGGTGGCTTCATAGGTATCATATGATATATGTATTTCTTAGCTTTGGAACCAATATCGGTGAAGTTCACATTGAAGCATAGTTGTAACACCATAAGTTAAGGTCTAGAATCCCCAAGCCTGATATTGATCATAGTGGTAGCTTGGATGCTTGCTTCAAAATATTATTGCTTCATGTTCAAATATAGTAATATTAAGAATTTCACATGTTGCAAAGTTATATTTATTGACGAAGTTGTCTTTTCTGTTTTTGTTTTTTCAGACATAATTTCAGTTGTCTAAGAAGAAGGAAGCATCAGGCAGGATTACTAACATCATTTTGTTTGATTTAAAACTGTCCATCCAGATTGCCAATGGGGAAAAATGACTTTCTCACATCTAAGGCAATTGCCAATCGAATTAAAGCAAAAGGACTGCAGAAGCTTTGATGGTATTGCCAGATGTGTCAGAAGCAATGTCGTGATGAGAATGGTTTCAAATGCCACTGCATGAGTGAAGGGCACCAGCGTCAAATGCAAATTTTTGGACAAAACCCAACCCGCATAATTGAGGGCTATACTGAAGAGTTTGAAACCACTTTTCTTGAACACATGAAGTGCAGCCATCGATTCAGCCGTGTGGCTGCGACTGTAGTTTATAATGAATACATAAATGATAGAAATCACGTTCATATGAACTCCACGGATGGGCTACACTTACTGAGTTTGTTAAGTACTTGGGCCAAACTGGAAAGTGTAAGGTTGAGGAAACACCCCAGGGATATTACATACATAGGTAGAGATTTGGAAACTCTTTTCAAAGAGAAGATGAAGAATAAGAGAATCAAGGCAGATTTGGTAGATGAAGAAAAGCAAGAGAAGGAGATCCAGAAACAGATTGAAAGGGCTGAGCGTAGCTATCTAATCCGGAGTTCGATCAGCCTTCACAGGTAGAGACTACAAGGGAACTAAAAGCAGAAGACGGAATTAAGATAGGATTTTCTCTTGGGTCGTCTGCGAAACCTATGACCAAGGAAAAAGGTGAGGCATCAATGATGGCGTTTGATGAGGTTGATGCCGAGAAATATGAGGAAAGAAATCCTGTAAACAACTTGAAGAGGAAAGAAAGTGGTGGTGGAAAATCAACTTTGGATGAAATGATCAGGGAGGAAGAGAGGAAAAAGGAAAAAATCAACAGGAGGGATTATTGGTTGCATGAGGGAGTTGTTGTCAAGGTTATGAACAAAGTCTTGGCAGAAAAGGGGTACTACAAGCAAAAAGGTGTTGTGAGAAAAGTGATTGACAAGTATGTAGGGGAAATAGAGATGCTAGAAAGCAAGCATGTGCTCAGAGTTGATCAGGAAGAGCTTGAAACTGTGATACCTCAGGTCGGGGGACGTGTAAAAATAGTAAACGGGGCTTATCGTGGATCATGCTAGACTGCCTGGGGTGGATACAGATCGTTTTTGCGCTAAGGTGCAGATAGAGAAAGGTGGTTATGATGGTAGAGTGCTTAAAGCCGTTGAATATGAGGACATTTGTAAATTAGCCTAGTGCGATTGACAGAAAGATAATTTTTGCAATTCTCTAAGTTGCAAGGAGAGTTGGAAAACTTGTTATGTATTATGCAGAAGCTCTAAATTCCAGTGTCAACTTTATTGCATAAATTAGAATTCTGATTTCTGGCTATAGTTAGACTAGACAAGTGCATATTAGGATGGTGACTGACCCACTGTACTATTGTAGCATGTAGAATTTGAATTAGCATTCAGCTTGATTTTGAATTTTACTTGTGAACAAAGGGCTCCTTGTTGTCTTTATGTGGTTATAAGTGCTGTGTTGTAAATGTCTAATGTTTGAATGTCATCTAGGAGACTAGGAACATCAGGCCGGGGAACTTGCATCTTGATTTTTGGGTAGGACAAACTTTTTCTTATATTTCAACTTGTTTTTCTTAATCACCGCAGAAAAATAATCATTGGGAATGAGTTGCAGATCATTGTTCTTCTAGACTGTAATGTGATTATGAGTGTTTTCAAACGTAATGTAATCATGCTGTCCCTTGATGTGCATAAACATATTCTCACTTCAAAGATGCATTATTTTAACAAATAACTTTATCGTCGTCCCAAAAAAAACTATCATTTAGTCTTACGAAATTTGTAAAGTAATGAAAGGTTAAAAAATATATACCCATTTTACTCTCATGAAAGGTTAAAAAAATCTATTTACTATTATGTGATTTTTATACTAGTTGAGCTAAAGGGACAAACACAATACACTGATATAGTAAGGTATTTTAAATAATGATTAAACTTTATGAAAGGTTTATACATTTTTGTTAGTACTAAAAGTTATTTAATCTTTTTATGGAACATGTAGTTTATATATTATAAAGAGATCAAATTATAATGTAGTTTTACGTGTACGAAGAAAAACATATGGCTGCAATTCTCAAGTTTGTTTATGCTATGATTCTATTTCTTTTCTTACTTCTTGTTGCAATGGAAGTTGGTGGTGGTAAGACTTTTTTTCATCATTTTTCAGTTCTTTCTTTAATTTGTAATTTGTATTCAATTTTTATTATGTTTTAGTAAAATTATTTTATCATTTTTTTACAGAACAAAATGGATGTGTGACTGACGCCGATTGCCCACGATATTGGGAAGAGTTTTATGTTCCTAAGTGCGTTGATCACAAATGTAGAGGGATGTGGAAATGGGATTAGAGGTGTAATTTTAAAGGTTTTTTAGTTAATTGTTGTAGAACCCGTTTTTTTTCTTTTGATAATTTAACAATCCTTGCATTTGATTTTGTAGTCTTAAGATGAGATAAAGCAAAAAAGAGTATTATTTAGAATGTCTTCTTCTCTCTTAATTTTGCGTAATCATCACAGTGTCAAATTCAGAGATCATATTAACACCTTATTTTGAGTGGTTAAGGATCTTTGACTTCACATCACCATGCCTAAAGGTTAGAAAATCCATCCAGATTGATTTTGGTTCAGATAGGATTCTCCAAAGCCATTTACTTGGAAGAACTAAGTTTAAAATTCCACAATCAGTTGCTTCTACAAATACTTTTCCAACATATCCAATTCATCTTCTTCTAATCAGTTGCTCCACCCACAAGAAATGATGCATAGGGATATTTGATATTACTCTCTCCATTTCAAAATGATCCAAAAAAAGGTCTATTCTCTGTAGGTCCTTTGAACACATTTTCAAAATTTGTTTTGATTTCCTTCCTATCCTCATCGGCCTGCTCAATCAACCTTGATGTCGTGCTAAGCCTTACAATTTTATTTCTCCTGAACCTTTGCTTCCTAGACTTATGCAAGAAGTGTGAGTTTGA